TTTTTTTTTTTGGTTATCGCTCAGTTTTGAGCGAAGGTTTACATTTTTTTAAAAATTTGCTTTCCAGCCCGCCTTGATCTTCCAGCACGAGTTCATCGTCTCAAAAAAAAAAAAAAAAAATCTCTGGCTGGCTTTTTTTTTTCCTTTTTTTTTTTTTTTTTTTTTTTTCAATATTTTCAAGGGGGAGGAGATTTTCCACAAGAAAAGGTTGTTTTCATGTTTGGGATTCAGGAAAGCATCCAACGGAGTGGAAGCAGCATGAAGGAAGAGCCGCTGGGCAGCGGCATGAACGCGGTGCGGACGTGGATGCAGGGTGCCGGGGTGCTGGACGCCAACACGGCGGCGCAGAGGTGGGTACCGCTGGGGGACCGCGGCCGGGGAGGCGAGCCGCAAGCAGAAGAGCCGGGAAGCGGTGGCGGCGGCCGCTACGGGGCCGGGAGGTGCTGGAGAGTCCGCCGCTCTGCTCGGCTCGCCTCCGGGTCTCCGCGCTCCTTGGCCGCGCTGCCTTGGTCGCCTGCGGCCGGAGAGAGCCCGGAGCTGCCTGCGAGGAGCCCATGCTTTGCCGGCACTTTCCCCTGCTTCGCCTGTGACTGTTTTCATTTCGTTTTAAGCCAGAAGAGGCGTCTCACCAGCACGATGTTGGATATCTGTGTTTTTATGTGATTGCTCTTTCTTTCCCGCTGGCAGTCTTCTCTTTCTTTTTTCTTACTTTCCTTCCTTACTTCTTTTCTCTTCTTTTCTTTTCTTTCTTTTTTCCATCTTTCCTTCCTTTCTTTCCTTCCTTTTTTCTTTCTTCCCTCCTTTCTAAACTTTTTTCCCTTCTCTTCTTTCTTTTCCTCCCTTCCTCTTCTTTCTTTCCTTCCTTCCTCCTCCTTCCTTCTTCCTTTCTTTCTTCCTTCTTCTTTACTTCCTTTCCTTTTCTCTTTCTTTCCTTCCTTCCCTCTCTTTCCTCTTTCTATCCTGGCTTTCTTCATTCTTTCCTTCTTCCCCTTCTTTCTTCACTCCTCCCTCCTTTCTACTCTTTCCCTTACCTCCCTTTCTCTCTTCGTTTATCTCTCCATGCCTCCCCAGAACCTTCTCTTAATTCTCTAGTCTGGTTCTCTGTCCCTCTTTCTCTAGCTTTCAGTTTTTCGTGGTCCTCCGGTAGAACAGCAACTCCCAACTTTAATTCTGACATCTCCGAAAAGGCTTCCTCACCCTCTGTCACCATGGTCCCTTACAGCCCCTCTCCCATTCAGTTCCTGAGATGTTAGACTGTGAGGCCTGGAGGTACTGCCCTTGGAGATTGATCGGGGGGAACTTTTCTGGGCACTCTTATCACCCTTTCCGGGGACTCCTAGTCCCAAGTGAGAAATGGTCTTTTTTTTTCCAGACCACCAGCTGGGCTTGGGGGAGTAGGAGATCTGGTGGCCACTAGCCTTATCCAGCTCTGAGAGGGCGGAAGGGGAAAAAGGAAGATGACTAATTACCTCATCCTCATCTTCTCCGGGCAGGGGACAAGTGTCTGCAACACGGTTCCCATCCCCGCTGAGTACAAGGATGGGGGTGGTTAGTAGTGAGAGTGAGTTGGGTAACTGGCTGGAAGCGAAAGAGTGTGTGTGTATGTGCGCGTGTGCGCGTGTGTGTGTGTGTGTGTGTGTGTGTGTGTGAGCGCGCCCTTGTGTTGGGCAGGTCGGATTGTTAGTGGCCTCCTGGCGCCCCTGGCACCGGAGCTTCCAGTTCCCCCGCGGGCGCGCTCAGTCGGCACACCTTGTCGGTAGGATTTCTGTAATGAGTGTGAGGGTTTCCGTGGAGCAGCGAAACTTTGTCAGAACAGGTCTTTAAAAAAAAACCACACACACTCCCCAGTTCCATGTTCCACAGCGACCACCCCTGACAGCTCTGAGTCCCCTACCCTCAGATCCTTTTTCTCACTTGCTTTATTTGGGGAGGGGGCATGCGGTTTCCCGAGGCCGAGCGCGCGCTTGGCTGGGGCACCAGACATTTCCTGGAGGATGGCTTCGGCTTCCAGAAGCTGAGCCTGTTCCTCATCCATCCTCACCTGCCCTCGAAGCTGAGGCGGGAGATTCGTGGGGGTGGCGGGGACCAATTCCCATGCTTTCCTCCCTCCAAATTGTAAACGACCAGCTGTATTCCGCGAACGCGGGTTCGCCGCATCCACCTCCACTTTTCTTCCCACGCAGCGCGTGTCAGGTCGGAGCAAATGCCTGCAGGGTTTTATCTCCTGCGCAAAATCCAAACAAAACTTTTCAGGGCTCTTCCGCGAGATCGCGGGGTGGGGGCGCGCCCTGTGGATTGGACACGGGAGAACACGCATGTCCCGCCGCCGGGTGGGATCGGGGCGCCGGAGGGGGCGTGTAGGCCGCCCACTGGGTGTTCTGGGGGTAGAGGAGGTTGATGTTTGAGGGTTCTCGCCTGTGTAAGGGGTGACAGAGGGTCGCGCGTCGGTGTCCAGCTTAGCCGTCTAACTCTGCGTCTTTGGCCGCAGCGGGGTGGGTCTGGCCCGGGCTCACTTTGAGAAGCAGCCGCCTTCCAATCTGCGGAAATCCAACTTCTTCCACTTCGTCCTGGCCCTCTACGACAGACAGGGCCAGCCCGTGGAGATCGAGAGGACAGCCTTTGTGGGGTTCGTGGAGAAGGAAAAAGTAAGTGGGCGCAGCGCCGCTGCCCCTCGCCCTGGCCGGGGAGCAGGCCCAGCCGCTTCGGGAGGCGCGCTCCTCGGCGAGTGCAAAGCTTCCCTAACACACTCCTGAGCGGGGTCCCCCAAGCCACTTCCCGTCCTGGGCGAACCCGGGCTCCTCATCCGTGAGGTTCTGCTCCAAAAAAGTTCGCGTGGGGCTCCAGAGCTGGAGAGAAGCGAGCCCGGCTTCGCACTCCAGAGTGAAGGGCGCCGGGGATGAACCCGCCCTCGCCCGCGCGACCACGCGCGGCTCCTGCCTTGCTGACCCAGGCCCGAGCCCCCAGGCCCCACGGAATTTTCTGGAAGGAAAGAGGGAGCAGTATGGGTCGGGAGGGCGGCAGAGGGATCACAGTTGGCCGCAATTTCTGCTGCTCCCGGGCCCGTCCGGTTTCCGGCCGGGGGTCCCGTCTTCGGGAAAGTTGTCTCGAAGTGGGTCCACTCGCTCACGCCGACCTCTTTCCTGCATCTCTTGTTGTGTCTTTGCGTCCTGCCGCAACCCAGGAAGCCAACAGCGAAAAGACCAATAACGGGATTCACTACCGGCTCCAGCTCCTCTACAGCAATGGTGAGGCTCCGGTCTGTTCCGCGCCGGCACCCCGGGGCCCTGGGTGAGGCAGGGTGCGCGGGAAGATCCAGGTGGACCAGAGCCCTGAGCACGCAGAGTCGTCCCCCGGCCTCGGGGTGACCGTCCTCTCCTAAGTTTCGCCTGAGGAGGTTTCACCCGCGGAGGCCCTGAGTAGCCGGAAGGCGGCCGTAGAGGCCTCGAGCACACCTGGGGTCAGGTGTGGAGCCCCGGCCCTCAAAGGGCCAATTTCTTTCTTCCTCCCATTCCTAGAGCCCGTTTTCTTGGCTTAGCTCCGGCTCTAGGCCCAAAGTCCTTTGGGTTCAGGGGGCTCGAGCGACCGTGGCCTTGATGGCTTCCGGAGAACGCGCGGAGGGGTTCCCTCCAAGAAGAAGGAGAGAAGCCAGTTGGGGGGTCCTGCAACATTCTCAGCTGCCGTTTCTTGGGGACTGGCCCCTCTCCGGACACTGGGGAAAGTGGGGGTGGTGGTGTCCTGTCTGTGCTTCTCTGGGACAGTAGGCATTGCATAAGCCTTGGAGCCCCATTCTTTGTTTTTTGTTTGTTTATTTTGTGGCAGTTCCTCTCTCTCACTTAATTTTCCTTCGTTCCCTTATCCCCTTCCCCTCTCCCCCAGGGATAAGGACGGAGCAAGATTTCTACGTGCGCCTCATTGACTCCATGACCAAACAAGTAAGTTTCTGAATTTCGCGCCGCGGGGTGACTAGAGGGCCTCGAAATTTGGGGAAATCAAGAAGCTGGCTATTCCTTAGCGCGGGGTCTGGGGCTCAAACTCTCAACGCCAGGGCGGACCTCAGACCTCATTCTAGCGCAGCCTAGAGTGCGGATACACACCCTAGCTCCCACCTCGTGGGGAAGATGGCTCGACGCCTCCTTCCCACCAAGGAAGACTCAGGCCTCTTGCATTAAGACTACAGGTGCTGAGAGGGAGAGTAAGTGCTGAACTTCCTTTGACCCGGCCGAGGAGCCCCAGGGGGCGCAAAAGGTGCCCAGGGACCTTGGCGTAGAGTGGGCTGAACTTGTGAAACCCGAACCCTCCCAGCCACTCCTGGGAGATCTAGGGTAGGGAATGGTGTGGGCGGCCTACGTACCTTACTCAGGAATGGTGACATGAGCTGAGAGCGCAGATGACCCACACCAGAGATTTTTTAAAAAGGAGGTGGTAGTGGTGGTATTGTTGGAAGAGGGAGCAACAATTGTTAGAGGATATTTTGCAAAAATCCTCCTGCTTTTGCCTCCAAATTTGGCAAGAAGCCAGGCAGCATGAGTGAGCTTGTGGTCTTAAAGGTACATAGGCGGCATTTTCTTCAACTCCCCAACATGCGGGTGTCAAGCAGCGTACATTAAGGTTGAGTTATGGTTTAAAAGATACAATTATGAGCCGAGTCAGAAAAGAGGCCTGACGTTTTAATGAGGCAGAGGAGCCTTTTTTTTTTTTTTAATTTTAAGAAAAAGTTTAGTTTCAGAATTAAGTAGCTGGTTAGGTAGTTGGAGGACTTAATAACAAAAAAGAAGCCAGCTTTATTGGGTGGGGGAAAGAAACTAGAACAAAGAGCAAAGTTATACATTGTGTACTAACCACCAATTTAGTAAGAGGAATAAAACTTATTTGCTTGATTGCAATTTAGAAATAGTTTTTCTTTAAAATAAGGAGGGTGATCTCCTTTCATAGATACTGACTTGAAGTTTTCAAATTAGGGTATACATGCATATTTAAAAATTATTTTTAGATAAGCATGGCTTAAATATGTTCTACAAAATGCACATTCAGAAGATTTTGGAAGTTTTGAAATCTATTCAGCAAGAAACTTTCAGTAATAGCTGATTTTGATTGTTAGTCTTGTATTTCATTTTGAACCAAGTAGAAAACATGAGGGTATGAAATGTAGTTTTAAAAATAATTAATAAATACCTACTGAGGTCTATTTCAAGTTATTTGCCTAAAATATTTGACTTTCTTGAAGATTCATTTCTTGGTTTATTAGTCAGAGTAAATGCACATTTGTACTTCCAATCTTGGTCTTATCTTTTGTACTCATTTTGATTTTTACATAGGATAATTCCCTTTCATTTGGACACATTGTATTATGTAAAAAATTTTTTTCCCTATCACACAGAAACACAAAAGCCTGATTTCAGTAACTTTTTTTTTTTTTTAACTGTATCAAAACAAAAGTGTCCTAAGTGGAGTTTTGTTTTAAAAAATTGTCTTTGATACCCTAGATACCTTTTCCTGCCATTCTCATCAGAGGAAAGAAAAGAGCAGAGGGGGAGGGGGAAAGTACGAACTGTAATACATATTACATATATCTTTATTAGAAATCACTTTTTAAAAGATAAAAAATCCCCACAAACCAGAATGTAAGGCTTATCTGCTTATGCAACATTGACCACTTACATATTAAATTATAGGCAACACTATGAAAGGAACAGTTGTGAGGGGTGCAAAATTAGGACATGTTTGAAGAGATTAACTACTTTCAAAACTTTTAGACCCCTTAAAGAAAAAGTGCCACCAAGAACTGATTTTCCCATTATGAAATGAACTGACTTTACACAGTCTCATATGGTGGGGGAATAATTTTGATTTTTATAAAGCAATACATGATTTTTGATGTATTTTTTGATGTATTCTACCAACAAGGTCATAGAGTTTTAGAAAAACTACAGTTTAGGGCATTCGTTGACTGCATGATATTAGAAATTCTATCAGTTGGGGGTGGGAGACTAGAACAAGATGCAGTTTATTTTTAATAATAACAGGTTTAAGAAAGTCAATTGCCATAATGTGACATCTCACTGAAAGTTAAAATTATAAATGTATGCAATTATATATTTTGGTTGGGAGTGACCTGAGAAAGGTTTAAGTAACTATCTGAATTGATTCCAAAAATAATCAAGAGAAGATGTGTGTGGTTTTTGTTTGTTTGTTTGTTTGTTTGTTTTTGAGACATACACCTATTTGCTCTCTTAGTAATTTTCTAATGCCTTCTGTGTAGGTTTCACTTTGAAAGGCAATCCCTGCCCATTATCTGTTTGTTTGTTGATTGTGTGCTGATAGAGTTTAGGAAATAGGTTAGATTCTTGTAGACATAGTTAATACAGTAGTCTTCAGAAAGCAGATCAGTGTGAAGAAACATAACTTTTCCTGGTTGTGACATAATTATTATATTTTAGTCTTAATGAGTTTAACAGTGGATTCTCATCTAGCTTGAGATTATTCTATGATAATTAACTACCGAGTCTGATTTATAGTTTCTTAAATTTTTTCTTTTTGTTACATATGCAGTGACCCCTTCAATCAGAAGTAAGGCTTGACATAAAATGACTGATTAAATGATTACAATTTTTTTTCCTTCATGAAATTCTTCCAGATAGACTCAAGATTTTGAGATGTAGAGTACAGAATAGGATAACATCAGTGATGTGATACGTTCTAATCACATCTTACATTTTGGAGGGAATACCTAGTCACCATTCAAGTGTCTTCTCTAAGCTGTTTGTAACATTTTTTATGTCAGAGATTTAGCTTTATGGGTTTGATGTCTTATCTTTGACTCAGAAGTTGGGGTTAAAACTCAAAGGGAATCTTTGGCAAGCAAAATCCAAACTATCTGTGTGCTCTCCGTTTTCATAAGATGTTCCTCCACTTAGGTGGAGTTAGCAGCATTGAAATCAAACAGAAATGTACTTAATCAACCAAGATGTATTGGTATGACACAGTATTTCACACCTTTTCAAAGTGTCTCATTACACTATTTTGGGTAATGACTCTTAATTTTGGACTCAACCAAGAAAGAGAAGTTTTATTACAAGCGAATGTGGAAGGAACTGAGAGCCCCCTCATCCGTATGCCTCTCTCATAAAACACAAGGGATATGATGATATTTAAGAAATTCGTCCACCAACTAGAAAATGAGAGGCTTGCTTTGGGAAGGGTTGTTCAAAACCAAGTTTAGCTGGACTAAAAATAGGTTGTTTTTGTGTCATTGCTGTTTTTGGTATTCCATTAGTGAGCATGCAGAAAGGCCTGTAGGACCTAGAAGTTTATGGCTGTTGAGTTCAAAAACAATATCTACTGCAGAAGCTCAAATGAACCCAGTAGGGGAGGTCTGATGTTTAATGTGCCTCATTTCAGACTTTCAAGTAGTATTTGAAATATGATTATGTTCTGTGATTGCTTCGGTGAGTTAACATTAAATAGTTTAAAAAAAAAAAGCCTTTAACTTACCTTTCCTCCTAGCATCTTGCTTTTAAAAAGTGACATTTTTATAATTCAAAGAGTACCAAATTCCGTAAAGTTATTGAAAGCAAAATACTCCTGTCCACAGAGAGAAGCTCTTTTTTGGAAAGGGAAAAATAACAGTCACATAATCCTTGTCATGTATGGGTTTGAAGTAGGTGGTATGGTGAGGGGACCCCAAAAAAAGGTCCAAGCTTAGCAGGTGGGGAGGCCCAAAGTACAATGATCAAAAATGCTGTCCTCTTTCTCTTACAAGCTAGTCTTCTTTGTATATTTGTTTTGATGTTCCTGGTACTTTAAGTTATTGATGCTAGCACATTTCTTCCTATTGATTGTTTCATTATATCCTGCCACAGCTACGTAGATTTGATTAACAACCCTTTCAGTTCATGGTTCTTCATTGGTAGATAAACACATTTTAGTATATCAATAAGTTCCAAAGGAATTCACTCGGGCCAGCAGAAAGGCTCTTTCATACATTTGGGTAAACAAACAAACAAAAAAGGCAAGTTTTTAGTCAGGAGCCACATTTCAGCAGCTTTCTCTCTCCTTTGGTAACATGTCAAAAAGGCAGGTGATTTAAATTTCCTTGCACATAGAGGAATGAAGAAGTTTGGAATTTTTATGCATGATCAGGACCTGTGTTTGGGAAAATGTAAACTCATCACAGTGGAAAATGTGTTGTTTGGAGTCTGGGGGTGAAAACAAAGCTGATGGTTTTGGAGAGATTGCTGGAGCCAGATGGCCTAGTACTTCCCCAGTCTGGCGGTCCAACTGCTCCCTCCTGGATAATATACAGCCATTTGTTCGGGGATATTTACGCTAGAGCTGTTTCCATGTGAATGTTTGAACAGCATTAAAAACGAACATATTAGTAGTGATGCATTTATCGAACTCTTATGACTACACCAATAGTCTGTTCTTATGTTTTGACTTACATTGCTGGGAGGAATGAAGGAGTGTTTGGAGGTTGGCGAATTGTTTATATAGTTGTTGAGCAAGAATGATTTGGTCTCAGTGAGTAATTAAAGCATGTAAGCATTTGGAATCAAACTAATGGAAATAATGATAGCACCTACCTTGAAGCTCTTTTGTGACAATTAAATGGACTCCTACATGTAAAATGCTTAAAATAGTGACTGGCACATATTAAGTGCTTAATATATTAGCTGCTTTTATTATTTTATTATTATTATTATTGTCCCATCGGGTTCACAAAGCCAGCTCTATCTACTAATATAGATGTACATGTAGTTATCATATGAGTGAAGTATCTCTTACTACTGTTAGAAAAAGAAGTACAGTGTGGAATTGTTAGAGTGATTCAGTTTTTATCCTGGTGCTTGAATAATATAAGGCAATTTGTTTCTTTGAGTCATTAAAGATGTACTCTAAAGCTAACTGCTTTCAATACACATTCTCTTTTTAT